TCCTCTCGAAGTCTTTATGTATTCAGACACCACTTTCAATAATTGAGTTTAAAATGACTTCAGCATTTGAAGTAGGTCAAATTTATTTTGTTTTGAAAATTAAGACCACTGTAAAAGGTTTGATCAGTCAAATGTTGACTACTGTAGTCTAAAATAAGGTTTCAAGCCCAGTTTAAGACAAATTTCAGACTTTCTGAAGTGGTCCTGTTGGTGCCACTAAAAATACTGCCTCAAAATGAAAGGTATTGCTTGGCCATGTGTTTAATGTCTAAAGCAAACAAGTTGTAAACTTAGGTTCTTTTCTGTCTCCTAGCAATGTTTCAAGTTTTTAAACTCTTATTTTACTAGTGATGGTGTAATGAAGCTTTCTGAACCAGTGAACCTTTCCAAGTGGTGCTCGCTGCAGAGCCATTTGAGGAGAGCTGAGCTCCAGAGAGGGGGAGCTTAAGCTTGAGCTCCACTTTCGACTCTTGTTTAAGGAAAAAGGTTCTTTTCTCTGCTTTCCAAATCGGAGCTCTGAGGACCTCTGCTGGTTGCAAAGTGTATGCATTGTTGCAAAAATTTCAATGGTTCACAACTGAACTAGTGTAGTAATATTAGTGCTGAGCAAAACTAGGCTTCATGATACAAACAGGTGAAGCACATGTATGTTTTGAAATCCATCTCAAGTCAATATGTATTGCTCTAAAATTCTTTCATCAAAGAAAAAAAAAAAAAAGCAGTTCAGTTGGGTTGTAAAATAGAGGTTACAATGATATTGTGAAGTGGCGAGTTCCTGACTAGCATGCAGCAGTAATGGGTTTGAATCCAGGCTGATGCAGCTATAGACATTAGTTTTTAAATGCTGTGTTTTTGTAACGCGTTTTAACACTGATCTGACATCCAAATGAACACAGATTTAAAGATTTTGGTCATGAGAAAAATGTACAGTATTAAAATACAGTCGCAGTATTTATACGAATTGGGCTTCAATTTCGGGCTGTTTGCAACACATTTAGCACATGCACGGTCCACTATTCCACATGAGATGGAGGGTTCTTTTCCGACCCTGGCTCAAAATGCTTCAGAAATGACAGATGCTTGAAATTGCCTTAGTCATGTGACCTGAGTGTTTCAGATCATGCTTCTGTGCAGTTTCGAAACACTTGTGCTTCGAGGGCTAGACACGGTCAATGTCAGTTTCACGTCAACCGTTGCTAGCTGTGACAGAAAGTGTTAGAAATAAAGCAGAGTGGGGGATAAACGACAAACCTGTTTTAGTATGTTTATTATAAAAGAAATGTAGAAAAATGTTCTCAGTGTGTGTCATGTGTTGGAGTTGTAGGATGTTTTCTTCAGCGTTTCCAGGAAATACTGCTCCTCCTGCAGGAAGTCTCTGTCCTGTCAACAGTAAAGAAGTTGGTCGATTTAAAAATTCACCTGTTTTTATTGCACATTTTGGATTATTGAGTCTAAAATGCTTGATGAAAATGCCTGGATGCGCATAAATGCACAGAGTAGGATAAGCAATTTATCTGATCAAAAAAACGCACATAAACCATGACGTAAACGCATTTAGTGAATAAATTCCAAGACGTGCTTCAATAAAGTCATTTGATTATAAAACTAAAGTTTGCAGCAGATGATTTCAGCACATTGTAGTTAATACAATGTGTATATTGTATATTACTCCCTCCAGTACTCCAGAAGTCTTGAGCACGTCTGCATCCCTAAAGAGTGTCTCACGTCCACTAGTATAAGTACAGAGCTGTGTTTTTAATCAAAGGCAACTCTTCAGTGCATTTTGTCAGTAAAACTGGTTCTGTATTTAGTAGTAACCTCCGTTAAGTTGGCACTATGTAAGAAGAAATAATCACTAAAACTGTTCATTATTGTCTTGCGTTTGCCGTGAAAAACATTAAACTAGCACAAGAGTTATTTTAAATATGTTTAAAATAATAATTAGTTTGATTGTGTAAAGTCAATCTTAAAACAAATGCCGTTTGTACTTTTAAACGATGTTATCAGGAGCTGTGATGCCCATTACTACGTTTGCATGGACATCAGTACTCATTTGTTATCTAATATATCTGTTGACTCGGAGCACTTGCATTAAACTGATAGAGAAGCTAAGAGAAGTGTTTAATAACAGCGGGCACAGAAGACACACAGCAGCTTCACTTAGTATCGACTGAGTGACAGAGTGAGAGCGAGGTAGAGGGGGAGGAGCTACACAGAACAATACAGATCCCATATACACACTGTCATAAGAATCAATGCACTACAATATCCGTATCTAATTATTTTCCTTAATCTGAATTAGACAATAACATTATTAAAGGCTCGTACACACCGGGATGCTTTTCGTTTGCGTTTATGGTCAAGGTTTTGCCGGATTCAAACCCAAGCAAATTTTCACTGGCGTCAAACCAAGTGTGCCGCAAGCCTGCGTTTGAGTGAAGGTCTCGGCCGTTAGATCGCCCCCTGGGGGCTGGCTGCAGTACAAGTCATAAAGCCCACCTTCTCCGTGTTAATAAAGGAGACTTGAGCCCAAATAAAAAAAAATTATTACACTTGCAATAAAATGTCCCGAAATATGGTTCTGGTCGATTAAGGCACTGGTTATTGTGCTGAAATAGGTGCAGATCTTCATTTTTGTAAACAGTTTGTTTTTAGCAGTAATTTAATGCTGGGCGTGTCATCGTGATTGACAGCTGTGATTGACAGTTTCTCAAAGCAGCGCGTCTGAGCTTCGGCAGGAGACTGAAGTAGACTGAAGTGTTATTATTCGATTTCTGTGTTATTTTACCATGACAAAATGAGTTCAGCAGTAAACTACAGTTTCTGACATACATGATCCTGGTGGAACACTGTTTATTCGCTAAGTTCAGGGCTTTTATCGGGCTTTATTAGTTTGCTGATACTCGCCTAGCCACCCAGATAGCAAAACACAGTTCCGGCTAGATTCTCGCCTGCCGGAGACTTATCCCTGATAGACTGACTTATAGACTGACTACCTCTGCTGGACCTACTCCGGATGCCTGGACTCACTACCCGATTCCAGCCCGAGTCAATCGAGCCAGATGCGGCGGCCGAGCGAGCCGGCACTGCCGCATACGAGCTGGAATCAGCCCGCGACGCCGCGAGTAGGTTATGTGTGCTGCGGCCCGGAGCTGGCGCGATTAAATATATAAAACCTTCATATTTGTTAACGTTATTACATCCATTTGTGTTGATATGACAGCAAACGCATGCTGAGAAGTTCGGGGGGCGTAGTTGATTTTACATAAAGCGTTTGATTGGAAGCTCGACTCTGCTCATTTTCGCGGCTCCTCCTCTGGCTCCATCAGACAGTCCTTCTGCGCATGTCTGGCTCCAATTTCAGCAGTCTTTTGCGACAGTTTGTGCCCGTCAAGCAGGCGTTTTGCCCTCAAGGCGTTCAATGGGAAAAAGGGCTGTCGCGTCGTCCATATTTTTTACAGTCATTGCGTCAAACAGAAGAGCATGCAAAATCCCTCCTTGATGTTAGATGGCGCTACACAACTTCAAGCTTCTGACACTCGCTTGTAACACAGAAGAAGACAAAGTTGACATGCTTGTTGTTAAAGTTACTGGTGACTCAAGCAAGCATGAAGGGTTCAAGTAGCAGCTCTAGCGATGAAGAAATGGCTAATGTTCACCAGAGCAATAAGCAGCTCAATGTTCATATCGCCTCTGGACATCTTCTTCAACTTGCGCTCGCATTGACGTTTTGCGCTTGAGCACCTCCAAGTGCTGTTTACTGTAACTTCAGCAGCTCCGTGCACGTAGACAAAAGTGGCAATCAGATTGGTGGAGAATGTGCGTCAAATAAAAAAACGTGAGGCGTTTCTTTAAAAATAACGCTTTAATGCCAGCCATTTTGCGCGTTGGTGTGCACGATCACATTGACGCCCTTTATTATAGTCACGAGGCGTTAAACGTCAACAGAAAACATGAGCAAAAAGCATCTCGGTGTGCACAGGCCATAAGGTTTTTTTGATTGTTCTTTTTTTACGTGTCATAGCACATAACTCAATAAACGTAATTGCATCCCCATTCGACGCTAGTTTCCTTTGGCGTTTTAAGCAACAATAGTTTGTGTTGGTTATGATGGCACTGTATGTGATTTTGGGCATTTCGTTTGAGACCATTTTAACTGCTTCTAATTTCATGACGGAAACACATTTAGTGGATAAATTCCATGACATGCTTTAATAAAGTCAGTTTATAATAAGATAAAAGTTTGCAGCAGATGTTTCCTGCACATTGTAAAAGATCTGAAAAGTATTGTTGATTTCCAAAACCTCTCAGCCGTCAGTCCTTCATCACAGTGCTTCAGTGTTATTATTCTTTTAAGTGTGCTTTCACACCTAGACTTTTGTTTCGGAAACTGCTTGTTTGCCCAGTTAGCGCTGTTCATTTGGCATGTGTGAAACCACCAGTCGTGCTCGGATGCGCGCCAAAACAATCGCTCTGAGATTGCCTGAATGAGGTGGTCTCAGCTTGATCGAAACAAACTCTGGAGCGAATCAATTGTAGTGAGAAAGCGATACGATCCCGGCTATATCACAGTGTTAACCTAATATTATTCCCCCTAAAACTGTCTTGAGCATCTGTCAGCACTCCCAAAGAACGTCTCGCGTCTCCAAAAGCAGCAAAAATACAAACCTTTTATTTGAAAACAGCATTATTTACCTCTAGAGAACAGTTCATAATAATAATCCCTCATGGTCTTAAACGTTAGTTCTGAAATGCTGGATTCTCATTGGTCAGTTTTCCAGTCACATGCCTCAATTGTATTGTAACTCTCCAGTCCTCAAGTCAAGCTGCGGTCACAACCAACGCAATCTCACGGCAATTCGTAACTTTTTGATTTCTAATTCGTATGAATTGGTACAATCTAATTTGTACAGTTTTGTACGATTTGCTCATAACCCAGTGTTGGTTGGGTTTAGGGGTGGTGTTGGGTGCCACGCCCCCATTTTATAATCGCACAATTTCGTACGACTGAATGTGTATGAATTAGCCACTAAACTGACAAAACGAAAAATACGTTTTCTCGTGAGATCAGGCTGGTCACACGGCACTTTTATTCCCCATACTTCCATTCATACACACGCGAATGCGTCACACCGGAAACGCAAGCTCGTGCGTCAAGATTCGCAGATTGCTGCGTTGCAAAGTTCAAGCTTGTAGAACTCTGACCTGCGAAATGGCATTACATGACTGCATGAGACCAATCGAAGATCAAAACATGACCTATCTGGACAGGAGTTGAAAACATGGACCAATCACTCGCTTTTTTTAATGTCTAATCATCTTGTTTATTCCTGCCCCTTTTGCAGCGCTGTACAACAAATTTTTGCAAGCTCAAACTCTAATGTGACTGCGGCATTACTATGCAAATAAGGCATGCGACAGGAAAACCGTCCAATAAGAATCCAGCATTTCACGACTAACGTTTAAGACTACGAGGGATTATTATTATTAACTAAAGTGGGCGTGGCCACATTCTAAAATGATAGATGTTTATTTTTGTTCTCGTATAAATGTGTGCTAATAATCATGCCCTCCGGCAGATGGAGGAGCTGAACACACAGCAACACCAAAAGCTCGGGTCTTAAAGAGTCCAGAGGTAAAGGTATATGAGTCTGATCCAATTCCACCAGTAAATGGCAGTAATGCTCTGTTTAAGAAAGTGAACCACCAATAAAACAACAGCAGACTCCCTCCAGCCACTAGGGTGAGTGATGAGCCCTCATTAGTGTGCTGATAGTCATAGAAATACTGAAGGCGGCCATTTTGAATTGTGTGGTCAGTTTGCTGTGTTTGTTTGATGCTCATTCACACCTGCTCCAGTTCACCTTCAGGTGCATTTGGATCTGGATTACGTGCGTGATCACTGGATTCAACACGTTTGGATTGCTGACTTCATCTATGGAAAATGAGGTGGGGAGAGCTGTTTTTTTATATCTTTAATTTATTTGGGGTGTTTTTTGGATTGGATTTGATCATGAACTCTTGGCGTTTGCATGTATATGTTTAAATATTTGCTGTTTTAATTTCATTTATTATATACGCTGTGTTTTAGTGTGTTGACGTGATCGGATTAATGCTCTTACATTATTTGGAAATGTGAGAATTGTATTTTCTTATTGTTTATTGAGTTTTGTTGGAATATTTGTGGTGTTTTTGGCTATTTTTGTGTATTTCTGAAGTGCTTTAGTGTTTAGATGTGTATTACTCGACTGGTTTATGAGTGTTTGGCTGTACTCTTTGCATTTTATTACTTTTGTTTGGATTATTTCCTTAATTATTGTATATTATTAATATATAACAGCCTTCTTTCAGCTTACTCCTCGTGTCTGAACTGTGAAAATGTGGTGAGAGCTGTTTTTTAATACTTTAGTTTATTTGGGGTGTTTTTCTGGATGGAATTGTTTTATTTGGCTTTTTTCCCTGGATTTGATCATGAACTCTTGGCGTTTACATGTATTTGTTTGAATTATTTGCTGTTTTTATTTTATTTATTATATACACTGTGTTTTAGTGTGTTGACGTCATTGGATTAATGCTCTAACATTATTTGGAAATGTGAGATCTTCATTTTATTATTATTTATCAAGTTATTTAGCAATATTTGTGGTGTTTTGGGCAGTTTTTGTGTATTTCTGAAGTGCAGAACTGATTTACATGTTTAGATCTTTTTACTGGAGTTGTTTATTAGTTTTTGGCTGTGGATTTTATTCCTTTTGTTTGGATTATTCCCTCAATTATCATCTATTATTAATATAATACACCCTTCTTTCAGCTTAGTCCTCATGTCTGCACTGTGATATTGATTTTTAGCACTGGCTCTGCAATTAATGGGAAATATGGGGACCGTTTATTATTAATATTTATTGATTGATATTGGAATATTTGTGGTGTTTTGGGCTATTTTTGTGTATTTCTGAAGTGCTGAACCTATTTTGTATATTTAGATATTTTTCACTTAATGGATTTATGAGCTTTTGGCTCTTAATTATTGTATATTATTAATATAATGTACACTTCTTTCAGCTTATTCCTCATGTCTGAACTGTGATATTGATTTTTAGCATTGGTTAATTGGCTGTAGAATTAATGGAAAATATGGTGCACGTTTTTTATTCATTATTAATTAGTTTAATGCACATCATAGCAGTTTTGTGTTTCTGACATACAGTTTGCTAATCTAAATTACTTTTGTTTAGATTTTTCTCTTAAACGGTTCAGAGTCAGATACAGATTTATCTATTCAATAAATAAAATATTGCTATCAATTTTTACAACATTGATTTATTGATTTTTCACATTAATAAAATCTTTTGAGCTTATTTAAAATGTATGCTTGAATTCACATATGCCATGTTATGGATTTTAACACCAGTAACGCCTTCAGTCATCAATGAGAGATCAGTCATTCACTGCTTTTTTCCACTGAACTGTTATCTAATTTTGGTTATTCTCCAAATACGTCATACGTCTTGTGTATTTTCCACTGTGAGAGTGTGTGTGTGAGAGTGTGTGTGTGTGTGTGTGTGTGTGTACCTTCTCAGCAGTGTGTTTGATGATGGCGAGTCTGGCGTGCAGTTCAGTGGGCAGCGGGTTCAAAGCGGTACTCAGGTGTGTGCTGGTCAACACTGGAGACAGATCTGAAACACACACACGGCAAAAAAGAATCACAATATAATGTTTCATATCATTCAGAACTGATAATTACTGAATATTTTTTAGCAATCCATTTAGAAATAAACTCCAGTATAATTTGTATTTTTATTTTAACCACTTTATTTTGATTTACTAACATTTACTAAGGCAAATAGTTTTAGAAGTAAAAAAATAAACAAAAATATCTGGTCTCTTACGTCTTATAATAAAATGAACAGAAGTGCTAAAGAGACTCTTAAACTTGATAAATAAGATGTCACAAAGTGTGTGCAATGGAAAAGCGTAAACGCTGAACAATCAAAGCAAACTTTAAGCTAGATCAACATCTGGTAAGACGTCAATAATGATGATACAATAAACCTCAAACTCTGTAAACAAAACATTAATCAAATCGGAGCTTTCAAGTAAATCATTAATTAAATGCATACTACTACATTAAAGACAAGTTGGTTACCTCTCTGGTTTTGATTACATCAGTAATTCTCACATTTTAATAAAACTATATTGTTAAGTGTGACGTCACGTGAAGAGGCTTCCGGGTCCATCCGCTCCACCAAGCTGTATGTGGAGACTCAACAAATGGTGCAATAATAAACGTTTACAAAGCGCTGTAATACTTTCAAAAATCACGATTTTAATACATACAGTTGAAAACCAGAAGTTTACATACACTGTATAAAAGGCACATAACCATTAAAAAAAGTCATAAAACTCTTTTAGGTAAATCAGGATGATCACATTTGTTTCTGTTCTGCTTCATTGCAGAATAATGATATATATATATATTTAGAGAAATTGTTATAACTCTTCTTGAAAGTCAAGTTTACACACAATAAGATTATTCTGCCTCTGAAAAAGCTCAGATGATGATGTCAAGGTTTAGGAAGTTTCTGATTGGCTAATGGACAACATTTGAGTTAATTGTAGGCACAGCTGTAGAATAGTATTGAAGGGAAACCTCAAACACACTGCTTCCTTGTGTGACAACATGGAAAAATCAACAAGCCAGAATCAACAAAACAGCCAGATTACAATTAGCTAAATTACACTGGGACAAGACTAATGTTTGGAGACATGTCCTGTGGTCTGATGGAGCTAAGATTTGAATTGTTTGGCCAAAATGACCAGAGTTACATTTGGAGGACAAAGGGGAAAGCTTACAAGCCTAGGAACACCATCCCAACTGTGAAGTATGGGGGCGGCAGCATCATGTTGTGGGGCTGTTTTGCTGCAGGAGGGACTGGTCCACTTCACAGCATAGATGGCATCATGAAGAAAGAACATTATGTAGAAATATTGAAGCAACATCTCAAGACATCAGCCAGGAAATTACAACTTGGCCACAAATGGCTCTTCCAAACAGACCATGACCCTAAGCATACTGCCAAATTAGTTAACATGTGCTTTAAGGACAACAGAGTGAATGTTTTGGAGTGGCCATCACAAAGCCCTGATCTCAATCCTATAGAAAATTTGTGGGCAGAGTTGAAAAAGCTTGTGCCTACAAATCTGACTCAGTTACACCAATTCTGTCAGAAGGAATGGGCCAAAATTCCTTCACGATTGTGAGAAGCTTGTGGAAGGAGACCCAAAACATTTGACCAAAGCTATACAGTTTAAAAGCAAAGCTAAAAAATACAGTTGTGTACACTTTTGACTATCTAGAAATTAATAAAAAAATTCTTTAAAATAATTCCCTCATTATTCTGGCATTTAGCAAATTTAAATCATTTAGGTAATCCTAACGGACCTAAAACAGTAAACGTTTAGTGTGAATTACCATCAGACATTTTTAAACATGGTTATGTTCCTTTTTTTAGAGTGTATGTAAACTTCTGGTTTTAACTGTATATCCATGCCAAATATCTGATGGCCAGAAAGTAATAATTTTTTATGAATTGTTAAAATTTTGGTATTTGTGATGCCAAGTCCAGAGACTGTCGTGTACACCATGATTGTACATTAAATTTAATATGTGATATGACTTAAAAAGTGACCACAAATAAATATTTTCTCAATTCAAATGAGTAGCAGCTTGGACTCGGATGCAGTGTTTCGTAACGCTTCATACCCACCCTTTTTTTATTGTTATTGATAATAGTGTATGGTCAACAAATGCCGATAGCAATTTATCGCCCAGCTCTGAATGAACAGATCTGCACCTGTGATAAGCGGTTGAGTGGAGGCCAGAGGGCTGACGGGAAGAGTGTGTTTCAGTCGCTCCACGTCTCTGTGATGATCCGTCATCCTCAAGCGCTCCTGATGGAGTAACACAACAGCAAAGTCCCCTTAAGCCAAGTAATTTCACTCGACGGTCTAATTTAAACACCTCTCAGGCATTCTGTTTAAATGGGGAAACATTAAACTCTTCAAAACTGTTCACCAAGCGTACGATTAAAGGTGCAGTAGGTGATTGTCTTCAGAAGCATTTTTTGTTGTGCTGGTTGAAAGTCTCTTCACAGTCTTACAGTAATGATTACAGTAAATGATCTAAATGTGTTTATATGTACTTTTATATTTTGTGTAAGGCATAAAACTAAAAAATGTTAATCCAATTAAATAGAGTCGGACCTGCATTTTTTCAGCTAATGTGCATTCGAAAGGAACAAGATCACGACACCGACCTCATTTATGCCTATATTACACATTAATATCCTCTGAATAATGCCTCTTCAGATCGCGCTGGACTTCTGAGGTAACTTGTTCTTAATTGCAAATCCCCACCCAAAATGACCCTACAAACTTGTAAACAAAGAGGCTGCTATCTGTTTGGAAGGAGATTTGCAGTCAAGACCAAGTTGTGAATTCCTTCAGAAGTCCAGCGCGATCTGAAGAGGCATTATTCAGAGGATATTAATGTGTAGAATCGCCATAAATGAGGTCGGTGTCGTGATCTTGTTCCTTACGAATGCACATTAACTGAAAAAATGCAAATTTAGTTTGATTTCAAATCTCCTTCCAAAATGAAGGCAGCCTCTTCCTTTACAAGTTTGTAGGGCGTCCGAGTATTTGCTGCGTCATGTGATGTGCGTCTGACAGGATGGACCGCACCCAGTGTTCTTTTCATACAGATTACAAAACCAGAGAACATTAGTTTTCAAGTGTAGTTGGTTAATTTAAAGGTAGCAGTTTCAAGCTTTATGTGGATATATTTATCATGTCTGTGAAGCAAGTATTCGCTGAGATTCCAGTCTGTGTGTGTGTTGACCTCAGAGGATCATAATGAAGCTGCAGAAACCGTTGGAAACAAACGTCTGGCCCCTGGAGAATCCTCAGTCCATAGTGATCAATGATTGGCTCCTGTAGTAGAAGGCGGGGCTTTATTCGCCATATTGACTGTTATGCTTTTCGCCATTCAAATCTATACAAGTGACATGTCTTGTGTATTCTATAGACGACAACACTTGCCAACTACACATCTGCGTTATTCAGGGCCCATTCTGATTTGCAAAGTTAAAGCCCGTTTACACAAAGCACAACAAAGATAAATATAAATAGAATGATAAATATATTTGTGTCCACTAGGGGTTGAACGACTAGGTTTTTTTAAAGTCAACTTTTATGTTATTGAAGTTATTAAAGTCGCTGACAGTGTTGAGAAAAGTGATGCATTACAATACTGAGGTACTCCCCTAAAAAGTAACTTGTTGCATTATTTAGTTAGTATTACTTACTTTTTTATGATAAGTAATGCGTTAAGTTACTTTTGCTTTACTAAAAAAAACATAATCGCGATTATTTCGGTCATAATTGTAATCAACTGTAAATCGTTTTGAATAATCGCGAAGTCAAAATTATTTTATTAGAAGTATTTCCCTTATGATGCTTTGTTTTTCTTTGATATTAATTTGTCTATTAATGCTTCTGAAGCGGCAGATGCCATCATCCCACTCATTCGTGCTTTCCTGTTTGTGTGTTTTTTTTTTTTTTTTTTTTTTTTTTTGTGGGCGTAATCTGGTTGCGCAACTCCGGGCAGAACAAAAGTGTTCTGCATTTGCTCTAGGCAGGGGGAAATTAAATAGCACATTTCATATTGCAGCTTTGTGGGATTAGCTAATCGCAATGTTTCAAATAGCGATTCGATTTCGATTAATCGCACATCTCTAGTAACAATTATTTTTTTATATTATTATATTTTTTAGAATTGCAACTTTTTTTTTATAAGCCGGTTAAAGTAAAAAGTAACTCGCATTACATTTTTAAAAAGTAACTCAAATATTATGTCTTAATTAGTAATGCATTACGTGTTACTTAGAAAGGTCATTATATTATGTAACTCAACTTGTAGTGCGTTGCAAGTGACGTCATCAGTGAAACAAGACGCAAATGTTTTGCAACATGATGCAATTTGCTGTTTATTCGAAAGAAAAATATAGACATGTTGTTTGACACGTTGCAAAAGCTATGCAACATTGGACTAGTCGACTAGTCTGTCCAACCTAGTGTCCACACAGACAAACGATAATCATCTGTTTATTTTTAGTTGATGCTTTTAATTGCGCATTATCCCTTGTAACCAGCAGGTGTCCTTAGTGTGCTGCTAGCACATCTGAACAAAATATATTGAGCTTATGACGTGTAATCAGTCTAATCAAACAGTAAATTTAGCAACTGTAGTCATTTCCTCAGCATTTTCAAATGAGTCAACATTGTGAAACTTAAACTAGCACTGGATTCCTGCGCTACTTTTATTTTTACAGAAAGTTATGACTTTCATAACTTCCATGTACTGTCTTAGAATTATTTCCCATGGTATAACCAATTGTTTCCATGATAGTCATTAGCTGCGTCCCAAATGGCACACTATGCACTATGTACTTATGCACTTACACACTCAACAGGATAGTATATGTATGTAGAGGCGTCCCAAATGGCACACTAATGTTTTTTTACTAAGCGGAAATTCAAACCGTTTCTCTGATGACGTTTGACGGTTGCGAAAACAGTGAAATAAACGACCAAATTATCAAGTAATACCTGCCGTGAGTGTTATTGCCGCATTCGCCATCGGGAGGCGCTATAATCACTCTCGTAGGAGAATTTTGCTTTCATCATCCAAAATAAATAAAGTTATCCAACATGTGCGTCCGATAGCTCCGCCCCTTCCGCTACATAAGCAAACCTGCGGTTCGTTGAGTGCGTGAAGTGTCCATCAGTCCACACTTTATTTTAGCGGCTGAATGAGTGCATCTGTTGTGTTCACATGTAATTCAGTACTGTGACTTATGTTGAAAGAAGAAACTTCTATGTAACGGTTGGAAAACAGAAGTGAAGCGGGTAGTAAGTGAAGTAAAGCCGCGATTCCTGTCTCATCTGATTTATTACTGTAAGAATACCACAGCATCATCCGGGTAATTAAAGTGCACTTAATATTTTTAGAGTTTTCAGTGTGAACACACTACTTAGACTATTTATACTACAAAATGGCGTAGAATAGTGCATAAGTATGCGATTTGGAACAAAGCTAATATAATTTTAATAAACATTTAAAGCAGGGGTGGCCAACCCTGTTCCTGGAGAGCCACCTTCCTGCAGATTCCAGATGCTACCCATATCAAACACACCTGAACCAATTAATTAGGACCTGAACACCACGTGATAATTACAGGCAGGTGTGTTTGATATGGGTAGCAACTGAAATCTGCAGGAAGGTGGCTCTCCAGGAACAGGGTTGGCCACCCTTGGTTTAAAGGAAGGCTTGACATGAAGCAGTAATCTTCTCCACAGTCTCGTTTGTAACTTTAAATTGTGAAAGCTCTTTAATTTTTAACAGATTCTGTCTAGAATCAGAATTGGGTGTTTTTGTTTGACCTGTTGTCTGGTTTGTGTTTGTGATTCGCAGTGTTTGGCCTGTTGTGTGATTAGCAGTGTCTGTCTGACCTGCTGTAGGCTGTGCTCTTGCTGCCGCAGTCTCTCCATCTGTGCGTGTATGTTGCGCAGTCGTGTCTGGTGTTCGGCCTCCACCTGTCTGGCCTCTCTCAGCGCTCGCTCTCCCTCCTCGAAGCGCTCAGACGCCAGCTGAAGCGGGACACATCAAACAGAGTCCCCATGAGTCAATGAATAGCTAGAATATCATGGAACTTAAAAAGCTCTATTCCAGACATAGAATGTCAGGGAATGTTTACAGGGGTTATGCAGTGACACTGAAACACTGGACAATTTAGTGTTGGAGGTTTTAGGGTTATATGTGAGCAGCGTGGTGGCCAGTCTTCATTCCACGAGTTGTAGTTTAGCAGAGTAACAGCACAGTTTTGCTTAAAATATTGTAATGCACACTAGGATTTGGGTGACATATCGGAGTCGAAAGAGGTGTCCGTCTTGCTGGAGCATCTGTGACCAAGACGGCAAGTCTTTGCGATGCATTCAAAGAAATGTCAGTAAACTAGAGGTCTGCGGGAGCCGCGAGACCTGACCAGATTTCTGCGGCGCGGGAATAAATTTCCGAATAAATCTCGGGAGTGGTCGGTAACTCGTTTAATTTGGGACGGGAGCGGGCCGTCTAGGAATAGCAACATCGCCCCCGACTCCCGAGCGAGCACGCGTATGTATGTGTGTAAATGAAATAGCGCGATGCTGTGTTTAGCTTGTTTGTTGCTGTGTGTGTGTGTGTGTGTGTGTGTGTGTGTGTGTGTGTGTGTGTGTGTTTATATATACAGACAGCTTGTTATAGGCTGTCTGGACTCTGTATAGCTGGGTGGTTTTCGGTTTTGTTCTCCCCCCGCTCTTTAGCGGGATCGGGCGTGGCGGGTAGAAAACGGGGCGGGGCGGGCAGCGGGACAACAAATGCTGAATGTAAGTGGGAGTGGTCGGGTTCGGGCTAAAACCTGACGGGTACAGGCGGGAGCGGGATTCAAAATTTAGTCCCGCGCAGATCTCTACAGTAAACCACCCAAGAAGAAGAACCACATCCAACAGGAGTAACTGTGGACGCTAGAGGAAGCTGTCTGAAAGGGATGTCCGGATGCTAACCCAGATTGTATCCAAAATACTTAAAACCACATCTGCCCAACTCACTGCGGAACCAAATATGCAGCTCAACTCTCCTGTTTCCATTAAAACTGTTGGTTGGGAGCTCCACAGGTTGGCCAGGCTGCAATAGCCAAACGTTTGGTCACTCACGCCAATGCCAAATGTCGGTTTCAATGGTGCCAGCATCGAAAGTATTGTGCTGTGGACAATGTAAAACGTATTGTTCTCTGATAAGTCCACTGTCTTTGCCACATCTGGGAGAGTTACAGTGTGGAGAAGCCCCAAAGAAGCATCTCACTCAAACTGCTGCATGCCCAGAGTGAAGCATGGAGGTGGATCAGTGATGATTTGGGCTGCAATGTCATGGCCTTCCCTAGGCCCAGACTTGTGTTATATGCGCACGTGACTGCCAAGGTCTACCGAACCATTCTGGAGGACCATGTGCACCCAATGGGTCAAACATTCTGAAGGCGGTGCCGTGTATCAGGATGATAATGCACCAGTACACACAGCAAGACTGGTACAGAGCGGTCTGATTAACATGAAAGTGAAGTTGAACATCTCCCATGGCCTGCACAGTCACCCGATCTCAATATTATTGAGACACTTTTGGGTGTTTTGGAGGTGTTTACCTTACTGAAAGCCTCCACCTCGTGTGCTCGTGTTTTGAGTGTCAGAGCGGTGCTGCTCAGCTTCTCCTTCTCTCTCTCCAGCTGGAGTCTGTCTCTGTCCAGAGCGTCTCTGTCTCTTTGCAGCGAGTCCTCCTTCTGCTTCAGCTCTCCTGTGCGCAGCTTTAGGTCTGCCTGCTCCTGTATAAAGATGATGGGGACGTACAATTATATCACAGTATTCTCTGGTAGCGATTGCGATTTGATGATATTATTTATGATCATTCTTAATTTTCCACTGAGACAAAAAAAATTGTGTGAGGTGTGGTAGTGTGTGTGTGTGTGTGTGTGTGTGCGCGCACTGTGATTTGTAGTGGCAGTTGTTATTGTGGTGGTGGTGTGTTTGTTGAGGTAGTTAGTGTTGTGATAGTAGTTGTTGTTGTGGTGGTGTGTTTGTTGTTGTTGTGGTTTGTTTATTGTGGTAGTAGTTGCTGTGGTAGTTACTGTTGTGGTGTGTTTGTTGTTGTTGTGGTTTGTTTATTGTGGTAGTAGTTGCTGTGGTAGTTACTGTTGTGGTGTGTTTGTTGTGTTGTAGTTGTTTTTGTTGTTGCAGTTAGTGTTGTGGCAGTTGTGGTAGTAGTTTTTTGGTAAGTTTATTGTGGTGAGTTTGTTGTGTTAGTTGTTGTTGTGGTGTGTTTGTTTTGGTAGTTTGTGTTGTGGTGTGTTTATTGTGGTATTAGTTGTTGTGGTAGGTAGTGTTGTTGTGGTAGGTAGTGTTGTTGTGGTGTGTTTGTTGAGGTAGTTAATGTGGTAGTTGTTGTGGTGGTGGTGTGTTTGTTGTTGTGGTAGTTAGTGTTGTGGTAGTTGTTGTTGTGGTGGTGGTGTGTTTGTTGTTGTGGTGGTGGTGTGTTTGTTGTTGTTATGGTGGTGTGTTTGTTGTTGTTGTGGTAGTTGTTGTTGTGGTGGTGGTGTGTTTGTTGTTGTGGTAGTTAGTGTTGTGGTAGTTGTTGTGTTTTGTTGTTGTTATGGTTGTGGTGTGTTTGTTGTGGTGGTGGTGTGTTTGTTGTTGTGGTGGTGGTGGTGTGTTTGTTGTAGTGGTGGTGGTGTGTTTGTTGTTGTGGTGGTGGTATGTTTGTTGTTGTGGTAGTTGTTGTTGTGGTGGTGGTGTGTTTGTTGTAGTGGTGGTGGTGTGTTTGTTGTAGTGGTGGTGGTGTGTTTGTTGTTGTGGTGGCGTTGTGTTTGTTGTAGTGGTGGTGGTGTGTTTGTTGTAGTGGTGGTG